TAAGCAGTTGCGAACTAGTCGGCGTCATAGAGTGTCGGATGGTGTTTCCATCATTCTTACGGAATTCTCTAGACTGGCCCTTATTAAGCAACGTTTTATAGCTGCACTTATTTCGTTTGAAATAAAGGGCAAGAGGAACGGAGCCTTGTTTTCGCTAGAATTATCGGTCTGGGGCGTGCGTTTTCCTCTATGCCTATGCCGAGAAGCCACAGTTTCGTAACCATTTGGAATGGCTATTTGGCGCGCCAGTTTCGAGTATTCTTCCCTCTGCTCGCTACCTGTGCACACGCTGGCAGTTCGAAACATATTTCTTATAAGCGCCCTTTTAGTACGTGAGGGATGAGAGGAGAGGTAATGAACCACTAAATTCTTGCTGCTTGGCTTTCGATACCATTTTGTGGTCAAGCCGTTTTCGGATAGGTTGATTTGAACGTTTAGAAATGGAAGCCAGTTTTCTTTCGGTTTCTCACAGGTGAATTTTATGTACTCTGACTGTTCGTTCAATAATTCAAAGCGTTTGTCCATCTCCTCCTGTGTGGAGCAGATGACAAAACAATCATCTATATACCTACAGTAGAGTAGTGGCCTGAGATCGATTACTTGTGTTTCCACTTTAGACATAAAGGCAACGGCAAGAGTTGGTGCCAGTCGCTGTCCCATTGCCAACCCTCTAATTTGTGCGTAATATTTCCCGGACCATCTGAAGATCGAGCAGTTTAGGCAGACCTTTAAGAGGACCATAAGCTGCTGAATCCAAAAGCCATACATGTTAATTGCTCCTTCGTGTTGCTCAAGAAGCTCGCAGATGACTTGCAGTTCGAAGTCCTTCGACACGTTAGTGTAAAGGGCGGTAACATCGAACGACCCCATAAGGTACGCACTCTTGGGACGTGCGTTGCGCAGACGGTTTAGGAACATTTGGGTGTTCGTGAGATAGGCTGGTATGTGTTTAAGCAACTGGCTGAGGATAAGATTTATAAACCAAGCAATTCTATCCGTAGGCCCGTCTACACAGCTGATGATGGGTCTAACATTAAAGGTGGAGCGGTCAGTAGACGCCAGATCATCAGCGGATTTTAACTTATGGGCCTTGATAAGTAAGTATAGGACGGGACATGTCGGCACTTCAATCTTAAGATGCGAAATGTCTGCTGGTTTTAAACCTGCCGCGCTTGCCATTTTGATCCATTCGTTGTTCAGTTTTCGATTTTGACTTCTGAATTCCTTTTCAGTAGATGCGCGATGAAGCGATGCGTCTTCAAGATGTTTTTCCGTTATATCGACATCTAACTGGCGAGGAATTACTGCAAACTCTCTACCCTTATCACTAACTGATAGCCTAATAGTCTTTGATTTTATTAGCTCTCGAACCTGTTGCATACCAGATTTTGCGCAGCTGTAATATTCGAACTAAACTTTTTCGCGCGATAGTGGCCAAGGACTTTGAGAGTTTTGCTCGAAAATACACGAAATTTTATATCGACTTCGTCGTTTGGGTCTTCCTGTCTAAAGAATAACTGAAGAAATGGAGGTGGTGGTAGTGCCTCTGCTGCTCGTTGTTCCTTTCTATTTTGTGTCTCAATTCTAGCGTTACTTCGGAGTCGATCTTGGAGCTCGTGCAGGCTGCACGCGATTCTACGCAAGGTTTCTTTAGAAATGGGTTGCGCTGGTGAGAAACTCGGACCCAATTCTAATAGCGAGCGCGCATCATCAGGCAGAGTTATGCCTCCTAACACGGTGACCCTTGACTTTTCAGACACGTTATCGACCACATTTTTAGTGTTAGCGCTTTCGTAAACGATTCTGCTTGGTTTAATTGAAGCAGGTTTTTGCGAATGATCTAGTAAATTTTGAAACTTCCTGCTTAAGGTTACTTTAGCATTTGACCTAATAGAATCGCAAATCAAAATTGACCCACCCACTATTCTCCTCGAAAGGGAATCCTCCAAATACTGAACACAATAAGATTCCTTCGACTTGCACTTCCTCAATTGCGCCTACATGGTGTCCTGTTTGCATGGAGGAGAGGCGCGTAGTAGTCGCGTTTCGATGTCCAGTACTAGTTGGCCGTCCCCTCGGTAGGCTGCATACATCGTCACGGTGTTTCTGGCAGCGGTGGACAAAGAGTATCGTTTGTCTAGCTAAGACAATTTTTTGTCTTAGTGACAGGACTTCTTTTACGAATCGGAAATGTTCTGCTGGCACTTCGCATAGCAATTCGCATGACCGACTTTCTTTTAGCCTCGACATTGATTGATAGTCCGATGTTTTTCTTCAATAAGCAGACATGAGGTTATTGTAGAATTTATTAGAATACAATAGCTGACGTTTCGGCGGTCTCGCCTTCTTCAGAGCCTGGAAAGGTCAAATTGAGATGCGATCTACTCAGCCAAACACTTTCATAACCCCAGCAGATAAAACTTAACAAATCGATTTGCATTCGCATAAGAAACAGCTTCATTTAAACACCTACCAATAATCTAGTGCTATTGGTAGGGCCCCCACTTGGTATTGTTCGCACCTATTTTGCGTCGAAGGGCTTCATCATGCACGCGTTGTTGGGCTCCGCAGTACGTAGCCGATGCAGAAACATCTGGGTATTCGTAAGATGGTCTGGAATGTGTTTCAACAACTGGTTAAATATTAGGTTTAAAAACCATGTTCTCCTATCCATTTGCCCGTTTAAACAGCTAATGAGTCTGACCTTAAATAACGATGGATCAGTGGACACAAGGTCATCGCTGGATACTAATTTATGAGTTAAAAAATAATATAAAAAGAATAGAACATAAAAAATAAAAGAACAACTAGCTGCAAATGTCAACCAAATACCCCACTAGACACGCATAGGACCCAGAGACAACGAGGAGGGCTTTGAAGTACGATCGTCGCACGAGAATCGAGAACACAAGCGCGCAAAACTTTCGACGCGTTCTGGATTAATTCCAGAAGTGCGAAAATGAACCGCAGGGAAGAATGCCTCATTGTCACGCGTGATATTGGGCAGTATATAAGACTGTTATTCTGATGGGAGGGGCACACTACGCTTCTGTGTGAATTCTATGCGGTTGGTCTTCACGCGACATACTCAGCGGAAGCCTCATAGAAAGCGGTGAGTGTGCAAAACTGTGTTCGATGTGATTGAAATCCTGGTTTAGCGTTTTCTTTGTTTGGTTATGGAGGTGTTTGGTCGAATAGATTGTTTCATACTCTTAACATCTTTGAATCCCGAAATCTGGCTTGGAATTAATTATCAACTAGTTAGGCGAGTCATTTTTAATATTTATTTAGGATTTCGTTTCTTGGATTTTGTGGCTTTCTCTGCTTTCTGCTGAAAGAGAAGCCTTTTGCGAACGGACTAATTATCTTACTCCTTTTGGGCTGTGGGTATTCAGTAGCACTGGTTATGCGGAACCTTCAGTTTATGTGATGTGCTGAGCTCGAATATGATGTCGTTCTCTAGTACGCTTCTATACCGATGAGAGAAAGACTGCTACTCTCTGTGATTAACTTGCACAGCATTACACTCTGTCCACTTCAATATAGTTCGTAGAAACTGATTCGCACTCGGGAAGGGTAATCACTATTCGATTTCGCCTGGTGTCCAAGTTTTGCAAATATCTTAGCATCACTGTGGTTGATGTAATGTTCTTCAGGTATTTCCCTAAAGACATTTTCGGTGTTGAACTTGTCAATAGTGAAATTCCAAAAGACGTATTCCCGCATCGCCGTGGTTTCGTGTCGTTGATTGTTGAAAGAGTCGACACTATACCAACTGTGCGGTTGTCAGCTTTCTCATCCAGAAAGTGATATCAACGAGTTTTTTTCTTCTTACTGAAGCATATTTCTGATTACTTCAAGGTTTTCTTAGTGAGAGTGGTTTCAGTAGTTTGCAGTTGTTTTGACGTATATTGTTCATAAAACATTCAGGCGCGGTATAATGCAGGATACCTATTCTGGTTGGCAGACTCATTGTTCATATGTAAAGTATACATTTTCCTCCCGACGGCTTACCGTCTCATCGTGGCCTAGTGGGTGTTCCTGGGTGTCGGGTTGCAATGTGCAGCGGCGCGATTCATCCCCAAAGCAGGATCTCTCAAGCTGAGTAGGAGTCCACCGTTTCGATCAGGAAGCCCAGCTAAGAGTAAACCAATACCAGGATCCACCACCGTCCTAGTACCAAACTAGTCGCGTGGTGTCAAATCTCACTCCGATTCACTAGAGCGGTGAGTGCCTGTGATGTTGACTACCTGTGGCAGACTTTGGCCAGGCTGACCTTGAGAGTCCAAGAAACCACGATGGCTAAACTAGCAGAACTCCGAAAAAGTGGAAACTATGTTGGGGTCCGCATAACCAGTGAGGACGGGCCATCCAAGTATCCATGTAAGTAAATACATATTTTATTTTATTGTGGAGACAACAGACTACCATTACCGAGTCTCAGAATCCCGATTCCATGGTTATGGATATGTCACGAGGTATTAAGAATTGCAGGATGATAAAAGATATTTTCTCCTTACAAACTATCTCTAGTGAGCTAACTTGGGATTGACACATATTCTTCTTTTTAGTGACTTAGCTTTCGACGGCTACACTTTCTCCAAGAGCTTTTCGTTTCCCAAGAAATAAGACCACTCTTACGCTGTTTAGGAATGATGCAATGTGCTGTTTTCGGACAATAACAGACGAATTTTAGGTTGGCGGCAAGGTTGTTGGTTTTGCCGTTGATTTAGCAGACAAAGCGCATCGAAGCGAACTCATTTCTCGAGTTAGTTTTCGTTTCCACTTAATTGTGAATAATAATTAGTGGGATAGTTACGGTTTTTCTGTTAACAGGTTGTCAGCGAGATGGGCATGTTGGATTCGTTGATTGTCGTTCCTCCTGATAATGACGTCCATGGCGATATAATCGATGCTGAAGTCAATCAATTTAATAAGGTAAATTTTTGTTAAATAACAGTACGTCAGCTGTGGATTCACTACTCAGATTTAGATAACTTCTGGACAGCTTTAAGTATATGATATGAAAACGATAAAGTTATTGGCGTTGGTCAGTCCTTGAGGGATGCGCCATCTATTCGACTTCATTAAGCATCGTTAGAAGCGAATGGTTGCTTATCTGACCTATACAATGATTCGCGGTGACCTACCGATGTATCAAGCTAGTGCCGCTGTCCTCCTAGACAAGTTTGGTACCAATTTGCCAACCCCGGAGAAATGGAAGGCTTGGTGAGCCTGGGGCGCGGGGGCATCAATTCCTTGTGTATTCCATGGCGCCTCCGACCATTGCGCTGCACGCGCCCGTGAACACCCATAATTCCAAGAGTCTTATTTTGAAATATTCAGTGTTGGCGTTCATAGTTCGCTATATGCTACCTACGAATCTCTTCGTGGTTCTATCTCTAATGTAATTGTGATATCCCTCGTTTTAGTTGTTTCGTGATCGTCTTACTCTTCCTTTCCGACTCACTCAAGCTGCACTTCCTACTTTGCAACATTCGAAGTATGTTAACAGAATCATAGAGCACTGTCCTTCAGATATCAAACTTTTACAACATTTTAAACTGCTTTTGATGTACAATATTTCTTGGAATGCCTCTGTTGTGTACTTCACGTCGTGTGCTGGGTACACGCCAGGAATTGACATGGGACTATTCTCAGTGGCATCAGTTGCTGTGCTCTCACTCACAAAATCCGTGGCCATTAGCGCTGCCCGTCGTGGTGTGCGAGTAAATTCGGTATGCCTTGGAATGGTGAGCTGTTATTCATACGGAAACTCAGTTTTTACGAGGCGATTTATGCCAAAGTTTCGGTTGATCTAAGTGAACGGCATTTTTTTTAAAGCAGAATCTATTTGAGGGTATCCAATGCTGGTATATGCCACGGGGCCAGACATGGTGTGCTATGGCCTATGAACTATGTGTTTGTCATTATCTACTGATGTGCTACCTCTACTATCCTTATTCCTTACCTTACTTTCTGATCCGTATCCATAGCTGATCCTTGTTGTTTTAAGCGGTAGCGATGTAACTGCTATGTGTGCATAAAGTCATTCACATGCATTTTCTTCGTTCGCTTAGCATTAAAATTAAAAGTCTTTGTCTGACAAAAGTCTGCGTTGTTGGTTTTCTAAACTCCAGTAAGACCGCCTTCTGAGCGGTCATTGCTGAAGGATTTATGAGTTCAGATGTATTTGAATGCAATTAGTTTTAGGTCTAGTGGTGTTAGACGTACACGGAATACACAGATAACACAAAATGTAACACTCGAAGAACGCAAGTTACTTAATTTGTTAGGTAGTCATATTTTCAGCCATAAAATCCCCACCAATGTTAAGGGATTGAGGGAACTTATTGAAGATTAAGAGCTGAGAAGCGACCAATGATTCAGTTATTCATAGTGGATGTTTTTCGCATTAAATTACTTTGCCGTTGAGTTTTTTCTAAACTCTAAAATTGACTCTAAAAGACTCTCTGAGACTCAAATTTAAATAGAGTTTAGGGCTCCACATATTGCATGATTCCTTCGACTATGAATGAATCGAGGATGTTTTCCTACTAAAGAAAGGAATACTGGCTATTTCTAAATATTTGACAGTTCAGGTAGAAGGTGATGGATCTGGTGGTCTGTGGAATTTGAAAGATTCGAGAGAGGCTCAAAACCACCTAGAGTCAATGATACCACTAGGACGACTTGGAAGGCCATCTGATGCAGCACATCTCGTACAATTCCTTATATCTGACAGGGCAAGGTATGGTTTTACTCGTTACTGTTTTCTTTAACATTGTTGGTGTTCGGCTTTTTTTTTTTTGGTGAGTGGCTTTATATTGCAGATATATCACAGGTGAGAACTGCGTCTTAAATGGAGGAATTTCCTTTAGATTATAGTTTTACAATTTCTTCGTATTTTCGCGAAGTTAACAGATTATATGCATTGTCCCACTTACAAATATAAATCTGAGTGTTTTTTTAATGTATATGATTTCAAACTTCCATAAACAGTCGGATACCTCCATCGCTCATTGTAATGTATGAATGACCGGTATTAATTTCGATGTTCATAAGCTCATGATGTAAATTATGCACTTCATCGAGACCTTAGGTTCACTTGTTTTAATTTCTTATGAAATCGAAAAATTGTAGTGCCTGCTCAGAGCCCATCGTTGTTGTCACAAGATCTCTTAAACGTAAACAAAAACACTGATTAGTGAGTTTTTCCTCCACTGGATGGAAAACTGGGTACGGGGTAGAGATGTTGTAATTCGATTGAACTAGAATATGTTTGTATGTAATGGATGTCTGGAAATAAAGTTTTACGGCATTCTTTATGACTCCTTGTGAGATTCAGCGAACAATTTATTTCGTAGCGCTATACTTCTCTCACGCTGTTTTTGGAATCAAGGACAATATGCGAAGCCATTACTTCAAACACATTAGGCATTGCATGTTACGCTTCGTAGATTCAGAGGCGGCTTCAGTACAGTACTGACAAGGATATTCATCATTGTCCCTTATCATAATGCGCCGAATAGAGCATGAAATGATAAAGTTTTCGGCGTCAATCAATCCCTTAGGATGAGTCATGCATTCGACTTTGTTAACCATCATTGGAGGTGATTGAATGCAAATCTGGTCTTAACCATGACTCGCACTGGCTTACCGTTGTATGAAACCAGTGCTACGATCCTCCCAGACAAGTCTGGTACCAATTTGCTGACACTGGAGGAATGCTAGCTTTGGTGGGCCTTGCGCGCGGGAATCGATCCCACGATCCCACGTATATTGCAGGGCTCCTCCGACCACTGCGCTACACGCGCCAAACACGCTACATGTGCCGAATGGCAGATGAAAATGTTCATTGGTTCTTCCAGTCTTTGAGTTATTGTGGCCTTAAGGTCGTCGAAGATCCGGAACAATGCTGAAGTTGGTGCGAAATATGTATATGCGTTATATAATTCTCGCTGTATAGTAGTGAGGTAATCATTCACCATAGTACTATCACTATTATGGACCATTTTCACATAATTGAGATTTCCAAGAAATATTAGATTTGGTTTATCCATCAACTGAGGGCTTTCTTTAATACTTCGAGGAACTTCTACATAGTTCTTTACTGTCAGTTATTAGAAGAGTTCGACTTCGCAACCGACCCATCAATGCGGAAAAAATTTATGGTTGGCTGTTGTGGCACTCGTGTCCTAGGTCAAACATCGAGCTCCGTCTCCCTCTCTCTCTCTCTCTCTCTTTCTCTTTCTCTTTCTTTCTTTCTTCCTCGTTTTGTTTTTTGCAGAGACCTGGAAGTCTTTGTTACGTCCGTGTTAGTTTTCAGGTCTTACAGTGCTTGAATCCTTCCACCTTCTTTTGTTCTTCTGAGTTCTACGTCGCACTTTTCGGAGACCAAAGAAGTCCACAGTGAGAAGCAGCGGCTTACTTGACCGATTGCTATCCTCACATAGCAGTACTAGGCGCAAATTTCTGCCTTCGAACTCCCTTGCTCTGTTTCTATAAAAAACCACTTGATGGTTTATTTAGTTTCCGAGAAGAGTTCACATGGCTTTACGAATGTAGCTGTCGAACTTCAAGAACTATCGATATATGATGTTAGTTCACTGGTTGATTGTGCGGCATTTCTGTCCCTAATTCACTTCGAAGAATATGGTTTCTTTGGAAGCTAATACTGATTTTGTTTCAACTTTTGCACAACCACAAGGATGCTGTGATATGAGCAAAACTCAGAACCTTAGTTCCACAGCGAACTCGCGTTTACCCTTTCGCGATGCTCACACCCAGCCCACCACAGCAATCGAGGTCGTCGTTTTACCTTTTTCTAGGCCATGTTTTTACTGTATCGGTGCTATCAGCATTCACCTTGTAAAGGGAATGATTCTGAATGAATGGATGAAATTGGATTTCGATTTTAATTCGAAAAGGTTTTTTTGGGTTTCAGTTTTAGTATGATTGACTTCGTCGTCTCACCTTCAACGATGCTTAATGATGTGGAATGCATGACGGACCCTCAGGGATTGATCAACGACGAGAGCTTTGTGCTTTTTATCCTAGTACTTGTTGTCTTAGTGTGTCACGTAGTCCAATTACGTATTCATGGATCTCTCCAGATCTTCGTTGGAAATATGGGGCTAGCTAAACGGGTTATGTTTAAAGATGTCGGAGTAAAGTTTTTGGTACTTACTTAACCTGAGTTGACATTCACATTCACATTTTGACAGCTATTGAAAATAGATTTTCAATAGCTGTCAAAATGTGAATGAAAATAGTTACTGCTGTTGTTGACCAGAGATGTAGTTATAAACATACTCTAGACATCAATCATGCAACAGTTTATTGTTAGCAAAAGATGCTTGGACGACGCTTTTCATTGGCATCGTCCACTAGCCGAGTTGCTGGGAGGATCTCTGCGAAAGAATATGTCGGCAGACGTCGACGACTTGTCGAATGCGCAAGGAAAGTGGCCGGTCAAGCAGGTTGGTTGAATAAGTTGTCGAAATATCTTATTTACTTGGATACTTGAATGGCCCGTATTCACTGATTGTGCGGACCCCAGCAAAATTTCCATTTTTTCGGACTTTTGCTGATTTATTCATTGTGGTTATCTGGAGCCCCACGGTCAGCCTAGCCATAGTCTGCCCCAGGTCGTCATCAGAAGTAGTCGCCGCCCTTGTGGACTAGACGGAGATTTGCCACCATACTAATTTGATACCAGGACGGTGGAGGTTATTGGTTTACTCTTAGTTGGACTTCCTCGTGGAAACGCCGGGCTCCTCAGCTTGGGAGACCTTGCTGGGGGGATGGAACCCACCGCTGTACATCGCAGCCCAACATCCATGAGCACCTCCCAGCCACGATGAGGGGGTGAACCATTGGGTGGTGTGGAAATATCACCTAATGACTTCATGAAAGTGGTGGTGGTGAGGTTTGGCGCGATATAATTCTGTGTCTTTGTGTTTTGCACCAAAAAACAATAGCATTTGTATTTCAGAGCACGATTTAGTTATTTTACTGAAAGGAGCGGTGCAATCGTTTATTGCCCCGGATGTACCAGGTACTTATCGACAGTGCAGCCATTTTAGGTAACAATAAAAAATCCGAAACAAAGGCTAATATGCAGGCTATGGAATTTCACATTTTTCTAGATATATCACAGGTGTTACTGTGCCGCATTGTTACTATCTTATACATGCTCCGAAAGGTAAAGCTGATATTCATTCTATTTTGTTCATGGATAAAAGGACTGCTCGCGAAGAACTGTGGGAAGGAACACTTCCGAACGAGTTCGTACTCGAGGCGACTGCCGGATTCAGTGATTTGCTGCCTACTAAGAAGATCTACGAGGTGAGGCATACGATTTTCTGATGACTTTTCTTCCAGTGGTTTCGTAATTATCATGCAAAACAGGTGGTAGCCAAGATGGCTTCATCGAGCTCGTCTTTGTTCATCGAATCAACTGATTGGGCCGGCACCGAATTAACCACTATACTCCCTCAGTTCTCTGCTTTTCACGGCATAAGAAATCATGTATGATCTGCGTTCATCTAATTTTCTGGTGCTTTCTTTCAATCGTAAATCCTTAATGTCTCTAGATTGACCTTCTTCGATTATCGAAATCTGCAATGGAAATCCAATCGATGCGGGATGTTTGCACATTGGGATCGAAGGTACTGTGCTCTCCAAGTTATTTTCAAGTGCTTACATTATGATTAAGGTGGTGGTGTCGACGATTGCGGGATGTCGAGGGTTTGAGAACGAATCGGCTATCGTGGGGTTACTGGAGTTTGAAGCTCGAAGGTATTGTTTTCCCCATAAGCTTTCAAAGTATACATTCGTCTTGTAACCATTACTGATCTCTTTCATACAGTCTTCAACGAACTCTTGTGAATTGTTGCCTATTCGTTTTGTAGGCGAGGTGTCAAAATGCTTGCTTATCCTCCTGTTATTGCTGCTGGTGAGCGGGCCAACACGATACACTATCTAGACGCTAATCAGCCGATTGGGAAAACGTGACATTATTAGCCCTTATACCTTACTTCAGTATAAATAAAGCCTGTCTAATTCGTCTTCCTTCCTTCCTTCTGTCCTACAGTTGGAATGTTTTAGCGACTGTGTATTGATGGATGCCGGATGCGATTTTAATGGTTATGTCTCTGACATTACCAGGTGTTATCCGATTTCCGGAAACTTTAGTTCTGCTCAACGTATACTATATGATGCCCTCCTTCATGTACACGAACAACTGCTGTTATACGCGAATAACTCGGAAAAGGCTAGTCTAAACTTTAGTCTAGTTTAGACTTGTTTCAGGCTAGATCAAGATCTCATCTTGATGCTGTTCTCCCTTTGAACTGGCTTTTCCTCATTTAAATGTAAGACTAACTTTAGATTCGTCTAAGCAATTTATATAGCCGAATGGTCGACCTCATTGCTAGCGTTATTCTCGAAATTGGTCTTGTACCCCAGTCAACAGCAAGAACTCAACTCATTAGTGTACGTACTTCCATTAATTCATTTGTCGAACTCTCAGCTTTACGCATTTTTTGGTTTCATTTTAGATTGCTGAATCGTTATGTCCACACCACGTAAGTCACTATCTCGGTATGGACGTTCATGACTGTGTAACGATTTCTCGTGATATCGACATCCCACATGGAACAGTGTTTACTATTGAACCAGGTCGTGCAAATATGATTTTCGATTTACAAGGTGTTAGAGCGTGTGTTATTCTGATTCATAAGGAGTTTTCCTGCATTTGTCTTTGCGGAAGATATCTTCATTTGTATTGTCGACTTTCTGTGTATGTCTACAATGATCTGCAAATAGTTTCATTCTCCTTACAGGTTTATACATTCCTGTCAATTCACAATTCCCAAAGGAATTTCGCGGTATAGGACTGAGAATTGAGGATGACATATTGAACTCTACAGAGGGAATAGAAGTATTATCAGGTGATGTTCCACGTACTGCCGATGACATAGAATATCTCATGAGATCTCAGTAATCTTTACATGAAGGAAGGATATAAGTATGAAGGAAAATTTGTTATATGTTGATGTTGTATATTATGATAAATACAACTATGACTGAGTAATCTACACAATACAAACGTACATTGTGCTTTGAAGTGTTATCGTAATGGGGATACGTACGTTTTCATTAATGACTTGAAGAAAAACCTATTCGTAAGGTTACTTGGCAGTTAGTTTATTTCGAAGATTGTACTTTTAAACTATAGCCTTTACTTTCATAGCTTCTGTCTTGCAGGGAATTTGCAGATTAATAAGTTTTGAATTGCTACGGTATCACAATTTGAACTAGTGTGGGGTGATAAAGCTGCTGATATTTCGTTTTGCTATCACTATTCTTATGCAAAGCCAATGTAGGAAAGAGGGTGAGAAGATGATCATTACATTTCAATGGACAAAAGACTTATAAGTGTAAGTAGCTATGGCAATGTGTACAGCATCAATTACATCTTATCAAAATCCTTATCAAGCATCTTTTTACTTAATTTGTTAGTAAAATTAGGTTATTGAGTTGTAAATTACCTAAATATATACATTATACCTAATATAATCTGATTAAAAACCTAATCAAACCCTGAACTAATCAATAATCTAATGATCTAACCTGATCTAATAACCTTATCTACTGTAACATGTACTATTTGCTTGGAGCTATCAAATACACTTCGCATTTATCTGCTATGATTGGATTGTGGGTGATTTCTGCGTATACCGACGCACCTATAAGCTACCGAAGAAATCAGGGTAAATCGAGTTTGAAGTCGGCGGGGTGTGATTGAAAGTTGATGAAACTCCGGATGACGTCGTGGTCGACGATGCGGATCAGTCGCAACGCGGACTTTGGAATACTCATCGAGGGTAGTGCCTGTAATATCTGCATTCTCAACGGTATTACGATTGGTCTGGTTCAGTTTACTCAGACTTGTTATTCAATTGCTAAAGGCTATCATTATCCTTACAGAAATCATTGGGATTGAGAGCAACTGTACTGGGAATAAAAAAGTACTGACTTCATATTAGTTTGTATTTTCGCCACTATTAGAGATACATAGTGACACACACATGTGGAAAAGTCTCAGTAATGAAACTGTTTTATAATCCATTTCTGTGGTACTTTACTTTAAACTTTATTACGCATTATGAAAACAGGGCATTTGGTTCTGCTGTCGGTCTCAAGTGTCATAAGACTACGAGTGAAATCAAGCACAATGATCAGGATGGATGCTATTCCACAAAACTGTAAGAGATCTATGTTCAGATAACAAAATCAAAGTTGTGCTTGGGACATAAGAATCATTTTTTTAAAACTTAGCTTACAAAGATTTTTGAAATTTTGAGAAGCTTCACGACGATAAGCACACCATAAGAATCCGCTATCTGGGTTGCAACTTTCGCGACACACAGATCACATAGTTGAACTTGGAATAAAGTAGGCGCGATTGTTCGTACATCAAGCTCCAATGTCTGTCTTTATAAAGAATGTTTTCTATCACAGAGAATATTCCCTATTTACTTAGACAAATTATAGTCATGCCTTTCCCAAATTCCGCATGTATGGTGTAGATATTCATTGGTTTTACTCTATACTTGGTTGATACCGACAGATCTCTGGTTACCCAAGTTTGATGCACACTCTGTGAAGACAAGCAAGACATAGAGACCCACGTGACACTGTCAAGCAATTGCAAGCAGTTACCAGCCTATCACCACATTACACCGCACGTGAACAATCGGTCCAAATTTCTATACTTTTCCTCGGAACCTCTACCTCGTGGTTTCACCCCACAAGTGCTCAAATCTGGTGATAGGATTTTCTCGGAGGTTAAACACAGCATTTGAAGCAAGAAATAAAAACCAGTTGGTATTTTAAATGTTAGTGCTTGATGAACCTGGCGGTCAGCCTTTTTCGAAAAAGGAATTTCGCCAGCTACCAAGCCAACTTGATACTTGGACGGCCCGTCCTCATAGGTTGTGCGGACCCTAGCGTAATCTCCATTTTTCGGAGATTTGCCGGTTAAGCCATTATGGTTCCCTGGAATCCCGAGGTCAACCTGGCCAAAATCCACCCCAGGTCTTTACCACCACAGGCAATCGTGGTCCTTGTGGATCAGAGGGAGATTTGCCATCACGCGACTTTGATACCAGGACGGTGGCGGATCCTGGTATTCGTTTACTCTTGGCTAGGTTTCCTGATGGAAACGCCGGACTCCTTCTCAGCTTGAGCGACCCTGCCAGGGGATGAATCCTCCGCTGTACATCGTACTCCGACAACCAGGAACACCTCCAAGCCAAGATAAGGCGGTAAACCGCTGGGACCAGGCCCAATAGACCGACAATTGTGTGTAGATGTCTTTTAGCAACAGGAAAAAACTAAACATTTGGTCATATTATGGCGAAATTATAGATTGAATGACAAATAGATATAAATAAGTCAATGAAAGCGAGTGTACATCGCATCACAACTGATTCTTGTTCCGTAATCCATTGTTATGGTCGTGCTCATATCGTACATTGGCTATGATCATGGGAGAAAATAATGTGACGTAGTTATTGATATCTATTAAAGACATCTAGGAATAAGCAATTCCTATGGAATTTTCCATTTAATAGAATCTCATCAAACTGATCACTTTCAACAGTTGCAATGCTATGAAGAAATCCGCTTGCCTGGCGCATCTTTTTCACGCCTAATTTTTCGGCGCACTAGCGATGAGTTGAAATCAACTCATGCAAACTCAATTCGATCCTGATATATGGGAGGAACTGTGCTTATTTTGTCCAGTCCAGTTACCAGTTTCACATTTTCAATGAGACATTATTTAACAGAACGTTTTGAAGATTCAAGGGCCTTCAAAAAGAAAATTCACTTTTTGTATATTCTGACGATATTTAGTGGTGTTTCCCGGAAAGACAAGCTGCTTCCCTACCTCCCACTTGCAGGCTCTCATGTCAAATCGCTCTACGGTGCTTGTCGTTCGAGTCCCATCAAATCCACCAGCGATGTAAATGCTTCCGTTCATTATTTCTATTCCAAAGTTTGACCTAGAAGCGATAGACCGATAGTTGTTGCTAATGCAAAACCAATCAAAACTTATTTGTGGCTGGGACAAATTTATTTCACTCGATGAAAAACCTGGTAATTTCCATCTCAGGTAATGGATACCATAGTCCGACGCGATGATCATAGAATTCTGTGCTCCTTAGCCGCCGAATGCCGTTAAATCCACCGACCACGATGACAGAGTTGACTTCGTATGTCACTGCAGACACTCCTGTACGTACCGATCGCATTGACGATGAGCCATGTAGCCTGATGCAGGAGTTATTCATATGTAGGATATATGTAGGATATAGCTCTCGACGTTGATTAATACTTGAGGGATGCGTCATGCATTCGGCCTCATTAAGCATCATTTGGAGGGGATTGGATACATATCTGGCCTTTACAATGACTCGCGGTGGCCTACCGATGTATCGAACCAGTTCTGCTATCCTTCCAGACAAGTGTAGTATCAATTTGCCGACCCCGGAAGGATGGAAGGCTTGGTGGGCCATGAGCGCGGTGATCGATTCCACGTGTGTGTTGCAGGGAGCCTCCGACCACTGCGCCACACGCGCTTCTGGAGATATCCATAGACGTGGAAATAGTAGATTGGAAATGCTCAATATAGATGGGAGGAATAGACCAGATCTATACCGACATTCTAATATATCTTGGATTAATATACCATTAGTATGTAAATGTAGGTTTTAATGAAACAAGGCGATGATGGGACGGACGAATTGCAGCATGCCCGCCCAAGAAGGTGGTGCTGAGGTGTTACAAGTAGATTTTGGTAGTTAAGTGAAATGCAAGGTACATGTAGCGTATTGCTTAGAGGTGCTCTGTAACATACACGTGTTTCTTGGTTCAATCCCACGTCCTTTTTGCTCTCTTGGTCTCCAATCCATCTTGGCTCGGGAAACTGGTAACACGATTCTCTGAGAGGATAAGCAGTAGTGAGTTGATACATCGGTAAGCCATTGAAAGTCATTGTTTGGGTCAAACATGCATTCAGTAGCCTCTGGCGTTTACAATGGAGTCGAGTGCATGGCGCAATCCGTCAGGAATGATCAATCCCGGACGCTTTGTCCTCTAAGTGGTATTCAAGAATAAAGCAATGTTATCAGTGTTATCACATGCTAACAATCAGCAATGGATTTTTTTTATTCTGGCAAAATAGAGTACATTGTGCAATAAGGGTCGAGTTCAAGAGAAGACCACGTTCTATTGAGTTGTTCTTCGTCTTGTGGTAATTAGAGACTTTGCACTATTTCTTGCAATGCATGAAATGTTTAGAAATTATTAAGAACAGTTGGCTGTGCTATCCCAAAAAACAAAAATCAGGACCACATGTGGCTTCGGATCTAAACAGAATTATTTTTTGCCATTGTGTTTGTTATCGTTGTTATTTATTGATATGAACCGACATCAAATATTATGCAGATCGCAGCACTTCCATTCAGTTCATTGTCTCGCGTCCGTCATTCACAAAAGTCTTCGAGGTTTCTTCTGTTACCTGACGGCTTCGCCTTCTTCACGAGTGTTTTCCAATTCTTGTCGAGCTAATTTCACATAAGGCTATTGCCATATTTTCAACAAAGCCGGTAGCCGTCCTTCGACAAATGGAACGTTGTCTAGATAAGTATGCTATCAATTTTTCGACACTGTTGAGTTCCCAGGCTTAGTTCACCAATGCGTGGTCGAATCAGGGGACATCCATATATTGTTGCACAGCATCTCTAACCACTGCAGATTTCACACGTTAGCAGATGTCGGTAGGTGAAAAGCATAGCTTTCAGCGCTACATTCAATAAGACATTACGCTTAACAAGCTATCAAAGCGAAGGTGGGTTTTACCCATAGGCACAAAATTTTACTGGAAACCCAGGTACACGTTTCAGGTCTTCAGGCCTACTATGTAAAGATGTACTGTAGTATGAACAAAAGATTGCAGATGGGTCCACTTCTTCACGTAAAACTGTGAAGAGAAAACCCAAAATTAGTCCTCAAGGGACACTTGAGGTGCTGTGACCAGTAAACTAGGCTAAGGTAATTGAAGTAAATGACTAACTCACTGCAAACGATGAAGGGCGATAGAAGAATGGGTGCTACCGATGTCACTCAGAAAAACAACTCCAACGTAAGTTGGACAAGTATATCAGTGGATACGTTTGCGGTATTCCGTGATGTACACTAGCTTAATATTGGCTGTCTCAAAACCCAATAAATATAGTAACTATTCCCTGAATATAACTACTATAATGCTGAGATATTTGCAAAACTACGGACTGCAGGTGTCTGCGGTGGGGAACGAACGCGCTATTGTCCTTTTCGGGTAGTAACGCGCTCACCACCACACCATGCGGGTCCTTCGTTTCGCCTGTCTCTCAGTTAGTTCTATCGATCTTTTGCCATCAGCAATCACCCGTCAAAAGAATAAAAAGAATAGGCAGTAAATAAAAAGGTTAAGATTGTGGTTATAACTATAGCATGGTGTGGTGGTGAACGCGTTACTCCCTGGAAAGGACAATAGCGCGTTCGTTCCCCACCATAGACACCTGCGGTCCAGAGTTTTGCAAATATCTCAGCAACGTTGTGGTTGTATTTCGCTTAGTACCCTGCCGGGAAATTATAGTAGGCAGAAAATAAAAAGGTATAACATTGTGATTTCAACTACAGCCGCAGCTTGACTGGGTTCTGTGCCGATTTGTGCGCCCCAGATCAATCCTGCTGACGGGTGATTGCTGTGGCAAAGATCGATAGAAATAGCTGAGAGACAGGCGAAACGAAGGACTCGCATGGTGTGGTGGTGAACGCGTTACTACCCGGAAAGGACAATAACGCGTTCGTTCCCCACCGCAAACACCTGCCGTTCGGAGTTTCGCAAATATCTCAGCATTATAGTAGTTATATTTCGCAAAATACTCTATCGTTAAAAAGAATATGCAGTAAATAAAAAGGTTAAAATTATTCTTTGAATAGTTCATATTTCTATATCATCTTTATGTCTTCTGTAATAACTGTTTACTTGTAATCATCATGCATCTATCCTTGCACATTCTGTGAATTGCATCTTAGCGGCCATCTCATGCATTTGCCTCGCAGCTGGCTAGAAAGGAGTCTCGTAACTTCTTTGTATAAAACGCTCTTCTTTGTCCGACAGTTCGGGCACTGAATGAGCAGCTGTCAGCTGCTTGTACTTACCAGTATCTGCCGCTCCAATCAACTTTTTGTGTAAGCCACTACATCGCTGTAACATGGACTTTCTGTATAAGCCATTGTATAGCCTTCACGAACCCTCTGTACAAGTAACTATATCACATTGTACTAACTGAGAAGGTTCAGAACGTATCTCTGAGCACTGTTTCTGGTTTCCTCTGTAGAGTCCCATGCATCACAGATGGAATATAAGAAGCACTATTGGCCATCAAACCAGTGCTTGTCTTCCACTTCTAATCCCTCAGTGCTCCAACTCCATTGTTCGTCCAGCTTCTTCCAAGTGTTTCACTTGTCCTCATTCCAATCTCGTATCCGTCCATTTAACTTCGTATCATCATATTGTTGTTATTGTGGTGTTATTATTACTATAAACTGTTATAACCAAAACTCAAGGTTTTCTATGGCAGTTACGGAAAAAAGGCTCAAAAAGTCCATAAGAGATCGAGCAGTGCATCTACAATTGGCGGACAGAAGACATCCGATGAACTATTCCTCTCTATTCCACTGGCCAACTAGCAGGAATTGGTGCATTGCCCCATTCGAGTGGGACTCTAAGCTCAGTGCAACTACTCGGCCACTTTCTTGCACCAGCTGGCACAATAGAAGACACCTCATTACCTATGCACGAATTGTTTGAATGACCAGTGAAGATCCTTCGAGCTCTGCATCATACCGTAGTATTTCTGGTGAAGTCATTTCTGCCAGAAATTCAAAACGGTCTTGATAGCTTCATATTCAGATTTGAACAGAGCACGAACCATGACTGAGATGCAAAGTCGAGCATTTCGATGTCATTGTGGATGGTTCGGCCATCGAATCCGCCGATGATTGTGGGCCGGCCAGCCAACACCACAGCGCCAGCGTCAGACCTGCAATAGTATGCAACTTTGGTAAAAAAATAAGGCAGAAAAGTTTTCTTAGAAACGGCTAATACCGTTGTTTTGACATGAATGGCAGATGGAACCAATGATTCTTCTCAACGTTCAGTATTTCGGCGGTTTGGAGTCGTCGATAACCATTGTAGCTGAAATCGCAAGGCTGTTGATGGATGACGTGTAGTGTCCGACTTCTGGATAAATTGCTTTCATTGCACTAATAAGGGTATTGCTGTAACAATGACATTTCCATATAGAATTACTCCATGATGGGGATTCTAGTACTAAAACTAGACATAAAATTGTTTAGAAAAATTTATTTATAAAGGCTAAGATTATAAGCGACTATTCTCAAATATGAATTACAGAGAGGATCAACATTTCTCATTGTGGAAACTTCTACATGTTTTTTAATTCTCGTTTTAGTAGCTGTTATAGACCAGTGTTGCATGCGCACGTATAGCGCAATGGTTAAAGGTGCCGTGCGATATCCACGTTCTTCCTGGTTCGATTACGCATGGTATACTGATCATTTCCCCTATCCATCCGGTGTGTACAAATTAATAAACCTATATGGGGTAAAAAGGATAAAGCTCCTGGCGTTCATCAATCCCTGAGGAATGCGCCATGCATTCGACTTCATCAAGTATCGTTGGAGGTGATTGAATGCATATCTTATCTTTACAATGACTCGCGGCGGCCTACCGATGTATCGAGCCAGTGCTGCTATCTTCCCAGACAAGTCTGGTACCACTTTGTCGACCATGGTTGGATGGAAGGCTTGGTGGGCCGTAGGCGCTGGGATCGAATCCGCGTATGCGTTGCAGGGCGCCTCCGACCGCTGTACCACACGAGCCCGTATTTTATATGCGGTTGGGAAATAAAATCACTGATTATATTAGGAAACTGCCCACTCACCTTTGCAATACCTTATCGAGCTAAATGCGAAACGCGCCCTTAGGCATTAAACAATGCCGAACGCAGTGTCCTTTATCGTTGAATTAGGGCTTCTACATTTTAATTGATATGTGTCCCAAAAAATAATCTTCATGGCTGAGAATCTTACGACTTCTTCATTCATCATATTGTTTACATTCAGAGTGTAGACCGTTGTGGAGATTGACGATGGCGACTCACCCTCCCATAGCGACTACATGGTGCATTCCAGACGGATTTAGGAAAGCAGTGGCAGCGACATAACATCGTCTGTCATGCATATTCGTAATGGCAACCCAAGACTAAAAGTTGAAATTTCAAAGAACAGAAACAAACAGGAATTTGGAGCTCAAAAGCGGTCGAGTGCACCAGCGATTACAGCCAAGTAGCAACGATCTCAGTTATTTATAGTGTACCTTTCTGTTGAGATCGAACAATTTCGCATGTTGATAGTATTCCCTTCCATTGAAACCTCCAAAGATAACGATTTTTTCACCACACAATACAGCTCCGTGGTAGGCGCGTGGAATTTCTCTGAATAGTTTAATACACTTTCTGTTTTTCTAGGCGTTATTTATTACTAGTGGGGTAGGTAGTGGTAATGATGCTGTATATTATGTGGATGGTCCAATCTACCTATGTGCTGTTTCGAACAACTAGGCCCACCAAGCCCCACGTCCCTTCGGAGTTGAGGAATTGCTGCCAGACTTGATTGCGACTCGCCAATTCATGCTAATCAGCGTGGGAGCGCTACTCGAACTTAGGACTTCATCGACAATGAACCCGATAGCATTCAACGGCGTTCTTGACGAAGGCAAAAAAAGAATCCTCAACCATCAACCGAGCCACACGCAAAAACAGTTCCAAAACGCTCATGGATGGTGGATGCGAGGAAACGAAGAGAGTGCAAAAGTGCCAAGACCTGCACAACGTGATACATGTGATGTCGGGTCATGTAATGCAATGTGTTTATTATGCTGCACACTATGGGATTTGTAGTAAATTCGTGATAATAGGTTTGAAGGGTTGATGACGAATTTTGTGCCTTTCGATCTGTCACACTATTAGCGCATTGATGGCTACAGTGTGCTCCATTTCAGAGTATGTTCATAGAACTGAAGACCTTCTACATGTATCACTGTTATACAGCACTTCTATTTCTTTCATTGTCCGACTATCTTCCCGTGTTCAGTAGTGCGTAACCGTTTGCCCGACTATGCTGGCTAGTTTGCTCAAGCAGAATCACTTTAAATTCTCCATAGCAGTAGTTTAAGTTGCTCCGAACAGAGGGATATAGACTGTTGACACCGGTGACATGTGGACATTCTTGATTGTGAGTTGATACTCTATATGAATTCGTGAGAGATGACAGTCTTCAAGGACCCCTTGCTACTACTGAAGCGAGCTAAAGTTGTGTCAGTACGTATTAATGCAGGTTTTAGAACGACTACTGTATTTACACACAAATATGATTGTTGTTGTGATAGAGATTGAGCACAGCTAGAAAGCCGTATTCCAGAGAGTAGAATGCTAACAGCAAGTATTCAAGGTCATTGCTGGCAATAAAATTTGAAATCGTTCACATCTTATCGACACTTGTAAACCATTTGCGAACAACAATATCGTAGCCAGTAGAATCTCAACACTCGGAAGAAATGGAAGCTTTGAAGAGACTGTGAAATAAATTCAAGACTAAAATGCAATCTGGAGCAGAAATGATGCCATAATAATCTGCGGCTTGAATGCAAATGCGGAGTTAATGAGTCGATCGTTGTTCTAACGAAGTAAGCTGCGGATTAAGCGCGGTGTAATCCGACTGAATAATTTTGGAGAAATGGACATGAGAGGTGTAAATGTTTGTTTAGATTAAATGTTTCCGTTGCTTTAGCAGGTGAGGGGTGTTAGTCTGGAAATTGGAGCAACAGAAGAGGTGGCCGAGGTGGATTTCAAATCAATGCCGCTAACCTAAAAAGTTATTCTACAACTATAACGTTCATGTACGCAAACTTTCAGGAGGAGTTATGCCCTCACATTATTCTTACAACGCAGTCATCTAGCAAATGAGTGAGATGATTCGAAGGACGTAATGCCCCAATATAAACGTGAAATGATAACGAAGCTTCCACATGCGAATGCCAGCGTCATGAAGGCTTCATGCCTTCAATCTCTGCTAACGTTTCTGAGGTTGCTAAAGCGCTGGACTGATTTTGCAAACAAGCTGGTTTAACATCTCTGCACAACGTTTTATTAAAAAATGGAATAGTAGTTAAAAACATCACTAGGATAATCGAAAAATATCATGCCATAAGAAATTCAGCTAGTCAGAAACCACTGGCTGGAGATCAACTCGATTCTCGGTTGTGTGGTTGAGCTAGAGCTCTGGCTCCAGCCTCTATACTATCATGTTATTAAGCTTTCCCAAGTAAAGCACCTACTCATACCTCACGGCCGCGTCCGAAACCACCCAATTATGTGCCCTTGCATTGAAGACTTCGACAATGTCTGTTGGGCCCCCTGTACTCCAGCCACCTGGAATTTCTCGACGACATGAGATGAAGTGGAGAAACACTCTTGGAATTGTTAAGTTTGCTAGCGGACCAATTGCTAAAACGACTTCTCGTGGTACTCGATCTCTTATCACTGCATTAAGTCGACCATCCGTCCCCCGCCTCTGAAGAGCCTCGGATTTCAATCGTAGCATACGTTCGTGGTTTTTCGGATTTCTCTGAAGTAATACTTCAGTTGGAAACTAAACGCAACGGCGGAAGCAAAATTGTCTACCGCTATCCATCTATTTATCAGAGGCTCCTCATCTCGGCTTTCGATATCCAAACGCTCATCAATCAACGCTGCCAGAATTTCGCTTTCCGTCATCTTTTCGTAATCATTGTTGTTCATGTGCTAGAAATGAATCGTATAAAGACAAAACAGAGGTAGCGTATGTGTATATCAATTGTCTGTTAGTGCAGTTTTTCTATTTCTGACATATCGCATCCACATAGTTTACCAGCCGAGCTAGGGTAACACCGGCAGTAAGTATCGCTGGTTCAGCCTGTGTTATCATATCGCATCGAAGTGTTGGATGCGCCTGGATGATTTGAAAATATGTCCTATCCTGAGTATGAGGGGACGCGTGTGGCGTAGCGGTCGGAGGCGCCCTGCAATACACATGAAATCGTTACCCGCACACAAGGCTCACCAAGCCCACTATCCTTCCGGGGTCGGCAGGTTGGTACCAGACTTCTCTGGGGGGATAGCAGCACTGGTTCGATACATCGATAGGTCATCGCGAGTCATTGTAAAGGCCAGATATGCATTCAATAGTCTCTAACGGTGCTTAATGAAGTCGAGTGCATAGCGCATCGCTCAGGGATTGATGAATTCCGAGAGCTTTACCCTTATTCTTGTTCTTATCGTGAGTAAGATATCATTCTAAGGTTTTACAAGTAGTGAGTTGAAGACGATTCAATGTTAGAAAGTTCATTCGGTTTTCATCAGGTATGATGTTCATTAAACTAACAGTTTTTTCGCAGATGCTCTCTTCATATCGCTTTAAGCAATGTGAGTGTCTTTCATGCCATCATTTTTAACCTTCTTCTACTTGTTTTTTCTTGCTGAGCCTTAGAATTTTCTTACATTCTCTTACATTGTAGCTTGTTCGCTGTAACAATTTTGGACTGATTAAGTGTCACGAAAGAGCGGTCTAACGGAACTTAATTTCCCTATTTCGGTTGATAATTCAGCTTATCAGCTTCCTTTTGTATTTCACACTAGCACAACCACTAGCTGTGTATGCAAGCCGCTTCTATCTATGTTCTAATTTCTTTCTGGCCCGTGACAATCCTACTGGCTCTGTAGCCGTCACACCAATGACATCATTTATGGTTCGAAACAAACTCGTCCGAAAACAGTGTTGTATATATTACTAAGTGTAGACAGTGGACTTTCCGGTCCGAAATCCAGTACACTGACCTATTTTGGATTACCTATCGATTGAAAACAGAATATGCAATAAAGAACCTTCATGTGGGAAGCTGAACGGCAGGAACGAGCTGAAATCAATTTACGCCGACCGATCTACTCACCACGTATGACTGGAAATCAACTAACTTCGGGCTCTACGTGTCAATACATTCATGACATCACCTAACATTTGATATCTCCACTAAAAGACCACGCTTAATTCTTCGCTAATTGCGTACTGCATTGAAATCAATGCACATATCGCAAATATTTTGTTAATATTATATTTGTAATAAGTTAAAACGTACATCCAGCCAAGCGAGGTTTGACTATCGATTCATAATGTAATCCATACGGTAAGAAATGACTTACCAATCTAAACTCCTTAATAATGCTGTTCCACAGCTTTCTAGCAAGGACAGCACTTCGTATGGTAGCTTTACGATAAGCAGCTAAGCGATTCGACGGATGCATGTGGGTTACGACTGTTTTGACCAATTCCTCCATCAACAAACTCATTTGAAGGAACGATGCAGAAACCATAAGCTGGAATGGAAACTAGTATGTCTTCGAAGAGAGAAGATGGTCGGTAGTAGGTGGAATGTGTATTCACTGACATTCATGGCAGCTTCTACCGAGTATTGTGGCGTGGTACCGCTGTATATATGAGCAGTTAGTGAAAGGCATGCTCGAAAATCGGATGAGCATATGCAAGTCAATCTGTAATAAAAAGGGATCCGTCTTCTGCTTGATGTCTATGGCAATCCGGACTCCAAAGCAGAAGCCCAGGTCTTATGTTGACATCCACAATTTGGATAGAAGAAAATAACCACAACCGTTCGAGCAAGAGACCTCTCCGACAAACTCCGAAAAACTTGTTGGTGATTTTAAAATATTATTTTTTCTAGCCTGTCACCTTTATTCTTATAGTGACAGTATAGTTAAGTCAACAAATATGTCGTTTATTGTGTTTCGAAAGCTGTAATACTTTCATGTAGTTGCTGTCAGAAGTTTATCCCTACTCTGAAGATTTGTCTCCTGACGATTTAGACAAACCAGCTTGACAATAACCACTAAACAGTCCGCAACTATCTTGAAGTGATTACTTCTAAAACATATTCAGCAATGCGCAGCTGTGGTCATGAGAAGAAACTCTAGAGCATAGGAACAGATTAATGTTGCTAAATAATTCCTTGTTTTTACAGTTGGTGAACAAAGGTATTGCTAGGTTGCACCAAGAGCGAGGAGAGAAGAGATCTGTAGCTCGTCATCGCTTTTCACATTCATAACCATATGGAAAAAACTACCTCACTCGGCTTGATGTTGACTCCATGTAGGTGCCGTGAAACAAAGCGCGGAAGAACAGCGATTCAGCAGCTAGCCGACAACGACTGAGTAAAAACTGAAACTGTTAAAGCGTTAGCTCCTCCTGTCAACAAATCTAGATCATAAGCAGGTTTTACTAACCAAGCCTCCATCGCTAGTTTCAATAATCACTTCATCCTTAGAGGAAATAGTAGGTGTCGATGGTCCGGGGAACTGTTCTTGTTCCGGTTGCGACAGATCAGCTTCTTTGAGCTGTCCTAGTGGTATTAACACGCCGGTACAGGCTGAGCTGCTAGTTCCAGTCGTTACCGAACCACCATTGTCTTGCTCACCGACCATCTACTGCCGAGACTGTTTGATAAATGGGCGTGACACTCTGTGTTATACGGTCAGGATAAGGAGGATAAGTCATTCTTATCTTTGTAAGTTATAATTTCTACCATAATTGGTGGAATGAACCGCTCATTTCATCGACGTCGTAAATGTCGTAGAATAAATATTCCATACCTTGTAAGTGTAAGAAGAATGAGAACTATACGACAAA